GGTGCTGCTGGTGGTGAAATATTGAATAGCTTTCCAGACATCCACCCTTTTTCTGTTCTGCAAAGAAAGATGCTGTAGTTAGACAAGGGGCAAAAGGTGGTGGCAGAATAATTAGGGAACAGTCGCTTCCTTCTGTGGAATCGGGCTGCGGGACGGAGCCGGGACTAACGCTCCGCAAGGCTCATGCAAACTGGAGCGTGAAGATCGGCGTGCGGGGAGCACCCGCGTGTGCCAGGCAGCAGCTGGGGCAGCGCTCCCGGTCTGGAAAGGCCAGTGTGGCTTTTCCAAGGCTTCTGCATTCCCCAGCCCTCTCTCCACGCCGGTTTCCACTGCAAACAGCAGCAACCCTTCTCTGCAGCACCAGGGCTGGGACAATGCGCCCCGGATAAGTGGGCCTTCTGTCCCCAGCTGCACCGGGGCCAGGCTCTCCCCAACCTGCAAGCTTTTTGCTTTCCTTTTTTTTTTTTTTTTTTGCTGTTGCAAAATCAATTTGCGGGCAGCTCACTAATTTTTCCCCCTTGCAAACTTATTAGCTATTCAGCCCCGACGAGCACTCGTAAGCATCCTTTGTCCCAGGGAGGGCTGGAGACCCCTTCATTAGCAGTGATTACTCTGAGCAGTTTGACAGCCTCCCAGCCCGCTTACAAGACTTTCCCATTCAGCCCTGCCCGGGGCTGCCCCGCTTCTCAAAAGAAACGGAAATATTCAAACATTTCTCCCCCCCTCCCCAGCTGAATAGAGGAAAAGCTGTTTCTCTTCTCCGCCCTCCCCATTCACTTCACTTTTGATACAATATTTTCCTTCTTTGTTAAACCGGAGAGAGAGGGGTCAAGGCAGACTTTTTAGCGACCCTTTTCTGAGCGTTTTGTTTAATGTAAATACAAGCTCCCCCCTTCTCCCCCAATTATTATTATTATTATTTTTAAAACAGCCGAAGGCTCGGGAGGGCGACGGCTTGGGCTGGTCTTTAGGAAAAAAAATGCTGAAAATGGCAGGGGAAGGTCATTCCCTTTCAATGCAGGAAGGGAAAGGGCAGAAGGAAAAAAAAGGGGGGGAAAAAAGAGTTTTTCCTCCGTAGGTCTTACCGGTACAGCCAAACGCGGCCGGCGCAGCCCCGCGGCCGCGGCCCCGACCCCGGCCCCTGCGGAGCTCCGGCGGTGAAGAAGCGGGGCTGGGAGATGCTCAACTCTCCTCATCCTCCCAAGCCAAGCGAGCCCGGGGAGCGGGGCTGCTCTTCTCAGGGTGGCTCCGTGCTCCGCTCCCCTCCCCGGCCGCTGTTTCGGAAGGGGTTGATTTGCGCCCTCGCTGAGGCTGGGGGCATGGAGCATCCGCCTGAGGGTCCCTCCACAGCCCACTCGGGTGATCCAGCATCCTTTATACCACTTAAACCCTTGGTCGAAATATTCACGCCGCTGCCTATTGTCCAAATTCCAGCTTGTTTAGTTAGAAAGAAATTCCACGCTATCAGAGGCTGGGCGTATGTGTTCATACAATTCTCCACCTCTCTATATGTCTTTTCGAAAGCTTTAATTCCCCACAATAAGCGCTAGCTACTCTGCCCGCAGAAGCCAATGGAGAAATTGCAATCCGCTTCACCTATTCCCGGGGAAGGAAAGAAAGAACGCGGTGCCTTTCAGCCGATTCCGTTTTAAGGGCGAAAACCGCTTTTGCTCCCCCAAAAACTCCTGGGTGGGAAGCGCTGCCCGCCAGCGAACCCACCAACCCCCAAACCAAGGCAAAAGCCCGCCTCGCTACCTTGCTTTGGGCAGCAAAGCCGGGCTCCTCTTGCACGGCTCTGTCGAGGACAAACCCGGCGGGGTTTAAGAGGCAACAAACCTGGCGCAGGGTTGGGGTGCAAGGTGGGCTCCGTCCCCTCCCGCAGGTGGGTGCCCCCCAAAGGGAGCTGGAACCCCCCGCGCTGCCCCCGCTCCCCGCCCCTGCCACCCGCTGCTCCCGCACTCGCAAAACACAGCTCAGTTGCCTCTCCCGACACCCCGAATTACACCCCGCCGGGGAAACAGTTGTTTGTAAATGGACCTAAAAACCAGCTAATAAATACCGGCTACCTGCCCCCTCCCTGTGATGGTCTGTAAGAAAAACCAGCGCACATGCGTTGGGGATGAAACGCAGATTTAGACACCGGCGGTGCCAACGTTTTTCGAGCTTTAAATGCAAATTTAGGCAGAGGGGGAAAAGCCGGTGCCGAGACGGGAATCTGCCTCCCGATAAAAGGCAGCAAGATTGACTTAATCTATCACGGAGCTGAAACGGCCCCTTGGGCCTCCCCGGCCGCCTCCGTGCCTTCGCAGCGGAGCTGGAGCCCAGCAGGAGCCGGGGCATTTCTCGCAGCCGCCGCGGGTTACCTCTGCCCGGCTTCCCCCGGTGCAAGGCTTCGCCTGCTAAATAAAACGAGCCGAGCAATCAGCTTACCGGGGAGGCATCTCTCTGAGGACAGGGAAGTAAACGCGATGAGACCGAGCAGACAAAAAAAGCACAGCTCAGGCGATTTAAAGATCAATGTCAAATTGTATAATATAAAATCCTTCTGCTGGGGGAAAAAGCTTAGCGCGCTCCTTAGACCTGGAGTTTGGTCTCCTCCAGCAAAACCGCTGCCAAACAAAGCGAGGGAGGCGGATGGTGGGGACAGCCCCCCTGGCATCGCAGGGGCCGGGATTTGGGGTTATTTCGCCCCCGGTCCGGCCCTTCCCGGGCACGGAGGGCTGTTAAGTCCCCATCTTCTCCTTGCATTTGCCAGGTGAGGGAGGAAGCTTGGTTTCCCCGGCTGGGCTGTCCCCAGCCATTTCTCTCCCTTTTTCTTCCCGCCCCCCCCTTTCCTTTTTCCTCGTCCCTGTCCGAAAATTCGCCGCCGATCATC